TGATTATACTGTACATATAATGGACTAGTTATTTCTAATAAATAAGAATATTTAGATTCAATTTATTTTATTGATTAAGTTCAAATCAATGTTCAGATTAATGCAGATGATTATTAGTCAGTTACATTACACTTAGGCGGCACGGTGGCTCAGTTGGTAGAGCTGATGCCTCTCAGCAAGAAGATCGTCGGATTCAAATCCCAGCCCGGGGACATTTCTGGGTAGAGTTTGCATGTTCTCTCCGTGCATGGGTGTGTTTTCTCCGGGCACTCCGGCTTCCTTCCACGCACCAAAAACATGACTTAAAGGTTAATTGGTAACTCTAAATTGTCCCTAGGTGTGAATGAGTGAATGTTTATTTAAATGAATAACTATTAAGAGTTCCATTTAATTAATATTTACTCAATTCCAAACATTGTAAAATTTAATTAATAATATTGCTTGAAATCTGTTACATAATTTTTTTGAGTAGATTTGGTGTATTTTTTCTTACAGTGTATGATTCTTCTCAGTTAAGTCACGTCTGTTGTGTTTTGAGGACATTAAAGCCTCAATGGCCCTAAATTTCTTGATTTTTAATAATAGGAAAACAATGTAATGGTGTTTGGTTCCTGGGGCTTCTGTAAACTGTTGATTTGGGCCTGCTGTTGATTTGGGCCTCCTGGCATTGCATATAAAGCACCAGTTTCTATTTTAGGTTTAAATAGGATAGTGATTTTAAGATGGATTGCAAAGGTGGGAGAAGTGGTCATGTTTAGTTTTATCATCTCTGGCAGCTGGCACAGAAACAATCGTAAAGGAAAATTTCTCTTGCAGTTTCAGTGAATTCTGTTTGTGGCCATGTAACACGCAAACTCCGCTGCCACATTTTGTGTTTTGTGTTCATGCCACGGCTCACAAAACGGTTTAGAAAGTGCACATCTCAGCTTTTTATGCCCCCACACCCAATAATCTAGATGTGTGAATAGAAAATACTTGCATAAGTATTACATATAAGTATTACATCTTATATGTAACTGTAAATAAAAATGACAGTCTGTAAAAAAGAAGGCATACCTCTGACAATTAAATCAGCTGCTGCTGACACTGTGTCCACTTCGGTGTTCACCATGCACACGTATTTCCCAGAATGCCTCAGCTGAATGTTCCTCACCATCAAGTCACCTGAAAATCCCTAATGATTGAGAAACAGAAATTTATAAACTTTAGAAATAAGAAAAGCAAAGGTGATGCACAAGAAAATAGGAAAAAAAAGTATAGAAAATCTTTAAGAAACAAATTAAGTTTCTGTCTCACTTGTGTTTTAAATCCTTCAAAGCTTAAAGGAATTCACCAGCAAACCATTCAAGGATAAAGAAAAGGAAGGGGAAAAAAGGATAACGGTCTAGGAACACAAATTATTTCAGTTTTACATTGTAAGGATGGCTACATAAAATGACTTGTTTTGAAACAGTTTTCTTTGGATCCATCCCTGCTGTGTTTACACTCTGACAGCTGAGATGAATAACTCTGGCAAGAATGTTCACAGCTTTTTTTTTTTGCTCTCTGTTTTGTGAAACAGACATACCAAGAAATATACATATTTTTTTCTACACAAAAAGCAGAAATACTGTTTTGAAAGAAAATAAAATGTAGCTAAAAAATCTAATTAAACATCTGTGTTGTTATGCCAGTGTTGTGGCTGAATTTCAATGGGTTTGGCACACTCACTCAGAGGGATTATAAATCCTGTATTGATGAACATTAAGTCTCCTTTATGCAGAAGGAAACTGACTGATCTGTTTAAACAGAGACATTCACCTCCAGTCTGAAAAAAAAATCTATGTTTACAGGCTGTGTAGCATCTGTGGGGCTCTATGGATAAAGTGCACATTTCAATAATTCATTTATTTCATTCATAAAATCAACAGAAAGTATATTAAAAAAAACAAAGTAAATCAACTATTGAATGAAAACATTGCAGAAAGAAGAAAACACTTTCAACTTCAAACAAACAACTTCAACTTGAACAATCTCCGTATTTGAGAAAAGAAAACAAAAATAATAAAATAAAAACAAGAAGAAGATAAGATAAGGAATCCTGAAATATTCACTAAACACTAAATAGCATCAGACTATCAC